CCGGCATGATATGCATATGGAAATGTTATTATAAATTCATTTTCATATTGAGTCATTTTACTATATGGAATAGATTGTTTTGTTAATATAGACGGAGCAATAATAGTCATTTTATGACGAAGAAATGCAGGACAACGCCGTGCTAATGATGGAAAACATATACCAGCAAAATTTTCAAATCGTTTACCATATGATGGTGGAATGACATACCTAAAAATCAAATCATTTATTCTTATTCTTGTATTTAAATAAAATAGTAGAAAAAGAAAATCAGATTAATATAGACTGCAAAATAAATAGAAAAATCCCAATCAAGAGCTATGAAATCTCACCGAAATTAGATTTACTTTTTTTTTTATAATAGAAATATTCTAAATAAAAATAAAACTTCTAAATCTACATATAACAATCTTTACCATTGTTTTGGTGCACCAAAATGTAAATAATTTATCGAATATAAATCCATATCTTCAGTATGCCATGCAAATGTTGCTTTCCACATACCAAAATATAGATACGCTGTATTAACACCTTCAATTTTAGTTCCATATTCAGTTTCAAGATCATTCAATATAGTACCCAGATTATTTACATTCCATATATTTTGATTTTTATCATAAAACGAACCACTCACATCTAAATAGCATACATACATATACATTCCAAACTAAACTATATTTTTTTACCAGCTCCATAAATCGGTGCAATCGATGTTAAATTATCCCAATATTTTTTTTCTAATTTTAGAACATCATGTGAAATAGATGGTGGTGTTATATATCGATTAGTTGCTGATAATTTTTGAAATTGATTTAATTTAATTGATCTTTGTTGAATATTATATACTGAATATAAACCATCTTTTCCATGTACTTCTTGTTTTATTGGATTTTGTACCAACGTTTCTTCGATTTGTTTTTGTTTATAACCCATTCTTCTTGCTATCCATTCTTTCGGTGGAACAATTTTTGCTAAACCAATTTTATGCGCACCACATGATTCAATTTTTGATACATAAGATGAAAAATTTTTAAATTCATCATACGTTGGATAGAATACAGGTACTTCAAGATTTGTAGATGTAATCGACATCTGGAAGAAAAATATATAAAGTCATCTATTCAATCAATTCTATTTCATTTTAAATAAAAAAAAAATAACATAATAACAACAATTACTATTTCGTTTTCATCTATATAATATTAACAATAAAAAAAAACAATTATTTATACTATCGAATTTAATATCTTAATTGTTCACAAGCATGGTTAAATTTTTGTGCATGAGCTGGTTTACTATATTGTGTACGACATTGTTTACCATAATAACAATTTTCACGATTACGTAATGCTACTGGTAATATATCTTTTTTTTTCATAGCAGCACGATATTGATAAGCTAATTCTTTAAATATACGTAGGGCACATTTATAACAAACAACTTTTGTTGATGGAACTATAGACAAATAAATCAATAAATAAATGTATAGAATAAGATGATTACATACTAGCAGTACTACGATCAATACTGGAACAAGTAAATTCTTTTTGATCAAGAAGTTGACAACATCGAAGAAATAATTCACGCATACCGAAACGATGTGCTGTGAGATAATTCTAAATATTAAGAGAATGAGAATTATTACTGATGTGGAGAAATTATAGAGAAAGAATTTTTGTCCTGGATCTTCTAGAATCAATGAACAAATAAATAAATCTTTTAGATTGAAGTAATAAACATGTCATTCAATATGCGAGTTAATCATATCCATACTACATATTCTCTTTTTCTTAGTTACAGAACGTACGATTTGATAAAAAAACAATCGTTTCGTTGTTTAGCAAATTGATAAGTTTTTATTTCTGTCCTGCCATCTTTCTTATAATTCTTTAGTCTTACTTGAACAATTTGTGTTTCAACAGAATTATCATTAACAAGATTATTGAGATGTCGAGGAGCGAAATTAAAATCTATAATTAAAAGAATCTCGTCTTTTATAACATTTTAAATAAGAAATACAACTAATACTTCGTAATTGATTTAAACATCCAAGACAACCTTGTCGTTGACATTGATTAAAATACATATGACAAAAGAATTGATGACATATTTCACCTAATTCATCAGAAATAAGAATATTTTTACAAGTAGTATAATTACTTACAACTTTGATTAATACTCAAATCAACTAATCGATCGGGCATTGGTTGAACACAACATTGACAAAGAATATGTTTTTGACCGGGATGACATTGATAACCAATTGAAGCATTACTAGCATCTACTGTATTTACTAAATGATAAACATTTTTTTTCTATCAAATTTATAAATTGAAGACAAATAAAGGTACCGAAGCCATTCTTTGGACACTGGCGGCAAGCAAATCGGCCATCAGGTACTGGAGCAGCCATGAGAAGTACACTTTTATTCAAATATAAATGAATGAATTGTATAAACATCAAAACTTACAAATGACCATCATCTTCATCATCATCATCATCATCGTCGTCGTCGTCGTCATCGTCCTCCATCTTAAAAGAATTCACTACTTTCAATTAAATATTTATTTGTCTAAAATTTACTTCTTCATCTTCTTCGACAGTGTCGTTGTTATACTGATTATTACGATTAATATACATTCCATTCCGATCAACCTATTGAAACAACAAAAAAAACTTAATTTCTAAAGAAATGATCTATTTTTACAAACATCATTTTTCGTATTAGTTGTAGTTTTCATTTTGGGTTTCGTGTTATCAATAGCTTGTAATGTAGGTCGTTTATGTGGATATGCTTTAAGATACGCTTCCAATATACCATTAATAACTACATTTTTCTTTTTACCAATTACTTTTACACGACATTTTGGACTAAATCAAACAAAAAAATATTCAATAATTTCATTCAAAATTTAGAAATGGGGTTAAATGAATTTGCTTTTAATATATATGCAGAATTGGTTACGAACAATATATATTTCCAATTCGGTTAATTTATATCTCAGATATCGTTTGTCTGACTTTTCAAGCGAGAAATTTGTTAATTAAAACAAAACAATTTCTATATGGAAAAATTTACCAAGTACGTTGTACTGCTTCCCATGAATTATAACAATCACTACAAAATGCGTGTAAACAAGGTTCAAGACAAATTGGATTTGACATTATATCTTGGCAACAGACACATGTAAGTATATCTTCCATATCATCGCCAGCTTTCATAACTAATTCTTCTTTAGTTTTTAATCGTTTCATTTCAACATTTGTATCAATAATCATTGTATTCGATAAATCAAGATTTTCTTTCGTATCTATAAAATATGGGAATTAAATTTTCCATTTCAGAATACAAAAACAAAATACGAACTATTTTGTGATACTGATGGACTATCTAAATCAATTTAATTATTGAAGTACAATAAATATAATGAAAATATTCTTACCAGAAAGTTTTCGTTTTAATTTTTGTTCAGTAGAATTCGATATCGGTGGTATATCTAATTGATATATAATATCTAAATATAGAATAACGAAATGTATTAATTCTTCAGTACTCCATGATTATTTACTTGATTTAGTTTCATCTTTACGAAATACAAGATGAACAATATCACCAGAATTAAGTTCGAGAGACTAAATAAAAAATATTGAATTTTTTTTCTTCATCATAATAATCAATTTAGATAATATTACCGAAATATTTTTATTGATCTTTTTTGATCGATTAATCAATGTACCATTTGAACTTGTATCACGTATATAAACATGTCCATTATCAAATTCAAATATACAGTGACATGATGATATATATGGATTATTTTCAATAATTAAATCATTTGCTGAAAAACAAAAGATATTTCATACATGTTTAACAAATACATCATCATCTATTTGACACTGTCAATACAATTAAATCATACTCATATTTCAAATCACTTAATCAACAATATTAACTCATAAGAATGCATTACCATAGTATTCATTGACTTCTTTTCTATACGATCAATGCTTATCAAAGTATGCATAAAGTTCAATTTATATCACTTAGCAACTGTACAATAAATATATATGTCGAATGAATGCAAGGTTCAAAGAATATGTTTTATATTCTAAATAAAAATCTAATAGATTTACTTGTAGCACGACCAATTTTGAATTGATTTTTGTGTACTGATATAATACTATGATCAATTAAATTTTTTAAACGATATAAAACAGATTCATCCATTGATGATATCTGAAAAGTAAAAGGAATTATTGAAAGAAAAAACTCTTTTTCGAACGTAATACACCGCCCTCATTTTCTATCCTAGATTTGCGGTTTTTTTCTATATTTTTGATTGATTGTCTTTAACCACTCCTACTTCACAGGAAGCTTATAAGAAAGAAAATTGATATAAGGAAAGCAAAAATGAAAAACAATAACAATACATAGAACAAGGAGAAGAAAAAAAAATAAACAATTTATTATAAGATTACCCGATTTCTTTTTTGTTGTAGTTTTAACATTATTTTATAAGAAAAAATTTCATTGAAATTCTTTAATAAATAATTCTTAAGAATATAAATTTTCAAAAATCTATTATAGACATCTATATGAATATAGATAAGTTAAAAAATATAACCAATAAATACAAGAGTTCTTTCCAATTGTTCAATGGGCGACTAAACTTTCAAAAAAAAATAAATCAATGTCTAAATTTGAAAATAATTGATGAATAGAATAAAATAGATATATTTATTTATAAAATCAGAAATTCATTGTCTGCCATTTTGTTTTGAACGATATTAGTCAACTAAATAGCTTTTGTTTCAATTGACAAAGGAACTACAGTGAATAAAAATAACTCAAGAAAATATTTAATGTTGTTTCCCTCAGTGATTTTTCTAGAGGGAGGGCAAGGATGGCGGCACCCTCCCGAAAATTGAAATTTTTGTGCTTATACTGTGTATTTTCCTTCCAGAAATTAGATTTTCGCCCTCCCGAAAATCGCTATCGCACTCTCGGAAGGAAAACACTGGTTTCCTCCAAATGCTTTCAGTTTGATGGTTGATATCAATATTAAATAACGACCTTTTACATATCTTTCTCATCTCATATTATTGTAATGATCTTTTAAATAGTATTAGGCAACAAAGTTTAGAGCTAGTCTATTCTTTAACTTATCACGAATAAGCTTGGTTGTATAAATGTTAAGTATCAATTATTTGTTTATAGCATTTTGGTGAATTAATATATCTAAATGAAACAAAATATTTTCATCTAATTTATTAGAACGTAAAACAAAATTGTCGCTTTGCTTGTTTATCATTTCATTATTCTGTTTTAATCCTATCAATTGGCAACAAATAAAATTTAAAAAATTAGAACAAAATCGGGAATCTTATGTGTTAATAAAAAAAAAGAATATAAACAAATAATTTGAATAATTGTATATAATATTATGCACGTTCATATGATGGATGTCGATCTCTTAATTGTTCAATTGCTGTTTTCCATTCATTAAAAGCAACATCATTCATTTGCCAACCAGCTTGATGTTCATGAGCTTCTTTAGTATTACTTATTATATAAGTTATTACCATATGAGGATGATCAGCTCGATAACGTCCATTAAAATCTATTTAAAAAAAAATCAGGAAAATTAGATTTTATTCATAAAATATTATTTTTTACATGATTGTTGTCGAATATCTTTGACTGATAAAACAGGTATACGTAATAATCCATGATCTCCACAACATCCAATATCGATGACTTGTGAATAAAAACAATCTTCAGTTAATGCTATTTCTGCATTACCGAATGTCTAGATGAAAAATATAACTATTAAAAATGAATCAAAAGTAAATAAACACACTTGACATCGACCTCGTTCAGTAGTTCCACTATATGTAGCTATACCTCCATGACTTCGCAATACAGCTGGTTGAATCGTATCAAAATCGATATTTTCTGTTGACTGACAGCAACCCATTTTTTAACTAAGTATATCTGGCGAACGAAAAAAAGAACATACAAGGCGCAATAAGTATGAGTCAGATCTAGACCAAACAAATGAAAACAGAGAACTATTAAAGAAGATAAACAGATGGCGATGGTGCCTAGTGTAAAGTATCTCATTTATTATCTTTAGAATGATATCAATCATGTAAACATTGTATAATAAATAATTGGTATATTAATCAAATTTTCATAATCTTACTAATTATCAATAAGAGATATAGATAAGATATTCAAAAAAACATACAGATTTCTTATATTGATCTTAATTTCATTTTGATGAAATCAGAGAATAAAATTTTAATAAATTGAATAGAAAAATGTTTGTAAAAACTAATAGAATGCATTTTGATCTTGCTCTGAAGTCTCATTACATGGCATAAAAATAGTTTATAACACCTTTACAGGTGAGGAGTAGTTCATAAATAGAAGCAAATTATTAAAGAAAAAATATAGATCTTGAGGGTTAGATATTATATTTATTCATCACACCTACACTTTCAATTGTGACATATAACACATGAAAATACTAGAGTACTTCTAGCTATGAATTATCATACTATTATAAAACAAATGTCTGGACATGAGCTTTCCTGTATATTTTATAGCTCATGTATATTATAATTAACAAATCAACATTATCAAATTAGTTGTATGAAAATGTAAATAGTGATATACATTTTTCCTTTTAACTGACTTCTAATAATCCTTAAACAATCATTTTTACTCTCATATATATTATAATAGTTTTTTAAATTATGCTCATTAAACAAATGTAATTAATTTTTTATAATTAATACTATTATTCAAAACATACTTTTTGTCTTTATGTTGCTTCTACTTATTCTATTTGATTTAACAATAAATTAATTTTTTACTAAACATCTTATAAATCTAAACCCTATTGAATTAATGACGTAGTTTCACTTGTTTTTCTTGCTTTAAGACATTATTATAGCATTAAAATTTGTCACGTAATTAAATATATACCAACAGTCTAGCATGTATAAAGTACTGATTGATCTAATGAATAAAATAAGACAAGCATTATATTTCTTTTTTTGCAATGCAAATATCTAAGTTTAAATTAAGATAAAATAGAGTAGTGATTTATTTAATATTGTCTTTTTTTACATAACCTATATAATAAAGAGATAAAATATATTTTTTTGAAGTTATTCTTGTGTAGTTAGTTGATTGTAGTCTGTATCACTTCCATCACCAATAACAGTCATATTTCTTGAAAGTCCTTTTCGTGCTGATGGAGATTTCGGTTGTTGTTGTTGTTGTTGTTGTGAATCATTTTTCATAACTTGTGCATGAATATTTTCTAATTCAACTGTACGATGTAAAGGTGCAAAATCGATTTTTTGTGGCGATGGTACTGATGATGGATCTTTTGACATCGAGTATGTTTTGTTTTACCTTCTCTAACACTTGTATAGTGAAGAAGTATGCGTGCGTGTATATTTACTTTTGATGCTATTCAAACTAATTTCTGATGAACGGAAACAAGAACGACAGAACAAGATCAAAACACTTTTTTTTCTTCTCTTCTGTATCTTCTCGACATTTTTTTTTTCTTCATTATTACATCTGTTCTCTCTTCGGATACTCGTTTAAGATTGACACGCAGTGTTTTTCTTGTTGTCATTAATTTAATCAACTTAAATTGTTTCCTTGATAAATGCGTGCATAAAACTAAAAGTCAAATAGTTAGAGGTACTTTTCAAAATTCATAAATAAACAGGACCTATTTATTATTAGTAAAATGGCTATAAAACTAAGTTTGTCAATATAAAAAAAATATTTCATATCGGTAAATCAGGTAAAAATCTCTTTCGAATAATTATTTGAGTAATAAAATTTATTTTCAAATAAAGGTACTGTTGATCTGATGGCTATAGACTTATTTGAAATTATGCAAATAAATACTTTCTTTCAGCTGCATTTTCGATTTTATCAGCAAACAACTAGAAAATATGAAGGTATGATCGCATTGGGCTTATAATTATATAAACAAAATGAATCGAACGATATCAAACGTTGTTCTGAACTTGATAACAATAAAACTATCAAAATCCACATGCTCAAAATAAAGTAAACAACATGATATATAATAATAAATGTAGTATTTCAATACACAATCCATCTTGAATAAAAGAACATATAGGGAACTTGTTTTTTTGGATTAGAAGTGCAAAATCAATATAGCGAGAAGACTTAAAAGTATCTATATAGATTATTACTAACATCATGCAATCTTAAATGTTAATTGTATTACTATATATAGAAATTTCTATTCTGGTAAAATATTAAATAACGATTAATGGCATACATCGAGTCTTCGTTTATGAAAAAAAAAATAGTACGGATAGATAAATCATTGTTTTACAGTGTCATTCAGGATATTAAGAAAGGCTATATATCAAAATACATACATGCATGTCATATAATATGTTGAAGAAACGGTACATTGTCTGCGATATGAAAACAGATTAATAAACAAGTTTTAAATATATCAAGACAGACGAATATATGCATTGAAAATAGGTCAAAATAATGATTTTTATACAATAATATTGACCTATAAATTTTTAATGTAGTCTTTCCTAATCAGGAAAACGTTTTTTTATTATTACTAATAAAAAATAATGCTTCGCACACTTATATTTCTTCATAATTTCATTTGGTTTCATAAAAATAAGTTGCCTATTATTTGTATTATAACAAATCAATTAAAGACTGGCAAGATTTGAATTCTTATATCTATTATATATTTTTATCTGTTTATACAATAAATACGAGCTTTAAAGTTCCAAATATTTCTTTTATCTCAGTTCGTAAAATAGTTTGAAAAGAATGTGATGTTTTCATCAATATTTTTCATATTCTACAAGTTTAGGACAACATTAACATATATCAATATGGTGTAAAATTACGTACAGAATTTCGTTTAATATTTTGTTTCTTAAAGGGATAATTATTTTATGTTAAATCTAATTGTTATTGTAATTTCGTATTTTTTTTTGAATTTCTTTTAAATTTCAAGTTTTAACCTTGAAACATTGAAAAAAATGAAAACCGGCAACCAATCATCATTGATTGAGTGTTTTTGTAACATTGAGAACTTAAGAGCAAGAAGAAAACGTGTATGTATATTTGAAAGAAATGACATAGTTTTATAGGGGACATGCTTGATCGTACGAACTTTTACTGTCTTAATAAGAGATCGATAATCGTAGATATTATTAAAAATTGAAGTAATAATAACTTTCAAGTATTGTCTTTAAAAAATAATTAGTTAAAATGTATAATACAAGTGTATATGAATAATATTATAAGAAAAAAAGATGAATAAGCAAAAGTACTCTATATTTCGATGAGAGACCAAGGAAGTAAAGGATAAAAAACAAGTACTCTTTCTTTTTTCGTATAATAATTTTCGAGAATATAATATATTAATGGTATAATACAAATAATTTATCGATTAATTCTCATTTTTCGAATAGTATTGGATATTTTAAGACTTCGATTAGTCGAAGAATTTTTATATTCTATAATAAATATTTCTTTCGCAAGATACTTCCATTTCAATAAACATGCCATATTTCGTCATAAAATAAGTTTCGTCAAAAGGTAAAACTTCTTTGTTCTCTGATTCGACAGATTAGTTGATGAAAAAGAAAAAGAAAAATGTTGGAAATAAAAAGAATGAAGTCACCACGACAAATAGAAGTATATTTGCTTTTAAATATGATTCAACCATGTGACATCGCAATTCCCTGACAAACAAATCTTACTTACTTTTTTTTTGATAAATCAATCCTTTATTTTTATGTATGTAGGAAGAGAAAAAGAAGAAAAACGAATCGTTTTTTTCTCTTCAACATAAAAAGAAGAAAAACGAAAAATGTGACATGCAAAATATCCCACTAAGTCAATATACATACTAAAAAAACAAGTATGTTATATATCCTCCGTCTTTTTATAATTCGGCAAAACCTATGTGAATCAAAAAGAAAAAAAGAAAATCGTATTTGCTCTTTTTCTTTTCAATTCTCCCTAACAAGAAAACTATTCGTTGTCAGGTGTGACACAAAATTTATGGATACACAATGAGAAATTTTATTCTCTTCTTTTGCTATACTGACGTGGAATAAAAACGAAAGAAAAAAAACCCATAGAATTCGTACTCAACATGGTCACCTATGCTCACATTCGAAATAGGGCAAAGAGAACAGGAAGGGAGAAGATTGTTCCCACAACAACAATAACAACAACAACAGTAATACACAAAAGAATAGCTTTAAAAAAAAACATCTTACGCATATATCATTTTTTTCTCTCCTTTTTAAAACAAAGATAAGAGAATATCTTCCCCCTTTTTCTTTTTTTAAATAATCATTATGCTATCATACTGAGTAGATTCTTCTTCTGTTTTTTTTATTGCTCATTTTTACAGATTTGAATTTGTCATACTCGTTTTTTTTTATTACATACAAAATGAAATCCAAGCAATGTAAGTTTATTGTATTGTTTGAAGAAAATATTTTCTTATATTAATATTTAGTAAACCCAAAATCTGTTCGACCATTATCAACAAATAGTACATCAAATAGTGTAAATAAACAGCGTGCACGTTGTTCATTATGTGATTCATTACTTAAATCTTCAACTAATCATCGATATTTTTTAACCGGTAAATCTGCTCATGATAATTTAGATAAAGATATAACGTACGGTGAATGTTGTCAACGATATTTAAATGGTGTCTATGAATCAGATAAATTACAAATGATTTGTTTAAAATGTTGTCAAAATTTACAAAAAATTAACTCATTATATAAAGATGCTGAAGAATTGAAAGAAAAAATTCGTCATACTTGGTATAAAACTAAACGTTTAAATCGAGCCCGACACCCACGTTCGACTTTTTCACGAATTAATGAAAATGATTCATCTTCTCCTTCCTTTCCAACAATAGCTACTGATAATAATATTATTATATCAATTAAAAAAGAACTTGATGTTGATGAAGTACCATCTGAGATAAAAATAACTGAAGAACAACCATCATCTGCTATATCTAAAACTGTTGCAAAATCTTCCTATGATCTGTCAAATAATCAACCGACAAATAAAAAATTAAATTCTCTAAGTATTCCTCATCAACTAAGTGACATGAATCATGATAGAATAAATGTACCTAAAGCAAAATCACGTGTAAGTTTAATCGGTAGATAAATATATATTTGCAATGCCATTTTTGCTTTTTTCATTTCAGATTCAAAAACAAACACAACCTTCATCAAAAAAACCAACGAATAATTCATATGCACGAAAAAAATCTCATTTAGTCACTGACTCTCCATCTGTTCTACCTACACAAATATCTCGGTCAATCATACCCAATGAACAAGAATACTATCCAAATTACTTGTATTCATCAACTAACAACAATCCTACCGCAGTAGATTTCTTTAAATAATTAAAGATAAACAATAATCCTTATCTTATTTTTAGTCATCATATGCTCAACTCATGATTGAATCACCATCTCCATCATCATCATCGTCATCTCATCAACAACAACAACAACCACAAATAGAAAAATTACGACGTGATAGTTCAGATAGTGAACAACAACCATCGTCAGCTATTAATTATGAGCAATCTTTAGGTGAATAATTAATCTTAATTTTTTTTTGCTAAATACAAATATGTCTATTATTATAATATGTAATTAATAGATGGTGATCGATCATTTTCACCGCCAACGAATGATGATGAAGCTTCATCAACAAATGGATCAAAATCCACACGTTTAAGTCGTCGACAATATGATTTTTTAGTTAAATTACCTGATCAACAATCATTAAATGCTTTTATTGAAACTTCATCAGCAGAATCTGGTTCACGTTGGACATGGCGTCGAACATCAGCAAATTCACGAGGTTATAAAGTATATTATGTATGTAATTTTTCTATGCGTCGTCATTACCATCCATGCCCAGCAGCAATGTATGCACTCTTTCATCCCGAAGGTAGCATATCAATTTACTCATGTGGACAACATCAACATATTCCAAAAGATCGATTACCAGTAAGTATTACTGATGCAACGAAAGATGAAATATTTAAATGTCTACAAGCGGGTATGGCAACAACAGAGATTCGTGAACATTTAACTCGTAAACAATTACCATTTGGTGATACAAGAAAATTAAATAATTTTATTAAATATCATAAAGAATTATTACGTTTTGGTACAGTAACAAATGTTCGAATAGGTGGAACTGCTTATCGTCAACCACAATGTTGGGCTATCCGTCGACAACCATCAGCACCACCATCAATGCCTGCACCAGTAACAGCCAGTGATAATAGTACAGCAACAACAACAACAACATCGTAATACAATTTTGTTGTCTATTATCGAAAAAAAACTTATTTTTTTAAAAAATGTCATGTAATATTTTGTTTGACATAGTTTTCAATTTTAGTAAACAAGACAATAAAATAATTAAGTTATGAATATATATTTTATTTTGTTTAATTTAATTTGTTTTATGAAAAATAAAATAAACGAGACTTTTGTCTCGAATACAATTAAATAATCTACTTATATTATTTAATTAATGAATTTATTTCACATTTAATATTAAAATATGATTAAACAAATGTTTTAAATGTTCGTCGACTATGATTCGTAGCAAATTGCATGGCTATATTAACTTGACGTATCCAGGATTTTCGTTGAAACTTACTCGCTTCAGTTAAACTTTGAACACATAATGATGGTAATGTATATCGAGTTGCTCTTTCCCACTCATACATTATTTCTTTATGAAGTTTATCATTTCCACGTAATATAAAACGATAATCAATTTTTCGACGTTCTTTAGGTAAAGGAATTTTTGCTGATGAAGATTCTGCTCGTTGAATATCAGGTAATTGAGTTGTTTTAGTTTTCTTTTCTTCATTTAATTTATTTCGTTTTTGTTTATTTTTTGATTTTACTGCTGTACTAGCACGTTTTGTATGCCAAGCATTATTTTGTCCACGTCGTACTTTAGCCCATTCAACACCACTTAAATGACGTAATGTTCGACCATCTTTATCTGGTTTATACATCATTTCTTTAATTAAACGAAATTGTCCAACAAATAAACGTATACGAATTGGAACATAAGAATTAGCTGATGAACTCGATGAAATAGAAGATGATACACGACTTACTGTTGTATTAATATTCTAAAAATATTTATAATTCTTAAATATGCTATTGAATTATTAACTAATAACGAAGTTATGTTGATACAAAATATATTCATATTTTTAGAACACTGGGAACTATGACTAATTTGTCCTTAGTATTTTATCTTACAGAAAGGTCGCGAAGAACTTTGAGATTACAAAAAAATTTCTTTAGGGATGATTTATAATAACATACATGTCGAGTTGGATTTGATTTTATTTCATCTGTAATAAGACCTGATTCAATAAGATCAATTGCATTTCGAAGAAGATAAGTTTCCAAACGATATAACCTCGCAATCTTATAAAATAATTAATTAAAAATTTATCTTAAAATCAAACATACTTTAGACCATAATTTTTTTCCTACACTAATTCCACCTGAACTCGAAGTAGTAATTGATGGTGTAATACCTTTTGTTTGTTGAATTGGTGTTGGATTTATTGATATTCTATTTTGCAATGAAGTAGCCACGCTAAAACTTAAAGAAAAACAGAAAATATTTTAATTTTCGTTGAATTTTAAATATACTTTTTCATATAATTTTCGGTATTTTTCAACCGAATTCTTTCTCGTTCATCAAGTATAACGTATCCTGTACGCATTTTATCTTTTGCATATTCAGCTGTTGAATAATAATCTTGAAAATCATTATTATACCCATCAACTAATACTTTATAACCTAATAATGATTCACCATGATTAATTAATGGTTTACGTTTTAATGAACTACATTGTAGACCATGTTGAGCATAAACATGTTCACGTGCTCTTTCTGCCCATTGTTTAAATATATAAACATAACGTTGTGGTACAGTTACTTTATTGGATAAACGTACACCATCAAATTGTTTGATTAAAATAAATGATGCTATATCATATTGTTTTTGACTAACTTCTTGACGTAAAGCTAATCGCCAGGGTTTTAAACCGTATCCATCATTTTTTTGAAGTATAGAAACATCTCGAGAACCAAATAAAGTAACGATATTAACTTGTAAAGATGCAATAGCTTCATGTATTGGACAACGAAAATATTCTGGATGTACACAATCTGTTGAACACCATTGACGAGATGGATGATGACCAACTGGACGATCAGCTCGTGCTTCTAATTGAAGTAAAGCTCTAGCCTAAAGACAAAAAACAATAAAATAAATTCAAAAAAGAAGACTCACCAGATCCTGATGTCCATAATGCGCAGAAATATATAATGCAACTTGAAGCATATATTGTCGAACAAGTTCATCAGAACTAACTAATTTCAATACAGCTTTTGTATAACCTTTAATGGCATAAGTAAAAAAATCCGACCATCCAATCCATGTTTGTATAGTTAATGTTGCACGATAATCTATTAACAAAAGAAAATTATTCATATAGTTTATGTTATTCTTAAAAAATACAAACCTATATCATATTGTGATAATCTTACATGATCAAATAATTCATCGTGTGTGTCAGTAACCAGACGAAAAGCTGATAATGGTAGTCCTGATTTATGGCTAGCAACAACACGTAATTGAAAAACAGTCGTTTCAGTTGGATGTAATGTGGAATCGAATACATCGAATGTTTCATTTCGAATTGGTAGAAAAAGACGATAGTCAGGTATACGATCTATATATTTCAATGAATTAATAATTCTTTTTTTTTTAAATTTTATTGAAAAAAAAATTTTAAAATTTTATAATTAAATAATTTCCAGGGTTGTTTTTCTTATCAATTGACAACTTAAAACGTCAAATAATTTCGGAAACTAGAAAATCTTTCCACAAAATTATTTAATTGAAACTCATGGAAAAAAATGTATTTTATAATAGAAGATCCGTCGGAAATGTTTGCACGCTACGACATAATAGAATATTCCGGATCGTCTATTATAGAGAAATGCAAACCAATTATTGGTTAATTTTGCTTGAAGAAACATATTGATTATAGAATATGCAGATTACACGAAAGGATGGAAATCAATGTTAATATGATTATATTTCAAATATTTTGATCGCTCATATTTGACTTAAGATATATTTGAGAGACAGAGAGAGAATGATTTCTTATCTATATAATTGTTGTTAATAACTCATTAAAATAAACCGATAATAAGAAGTTAACAACAACACTTTGAACTTTACAGTACTTATGATAAGTACGTTCTTGAGGTTATTGCATATTTCTTCGTACAAGAAGAAAAAAAACAAAAATTAATATATGAGAGTGATAGAAAAGAAATTCAGATTCAATGAAAAAAAAGGAAGAAGGTCGTTGGAAAAGTTCCCTTGAGAATTACATGTAAAATATAATAAAACTTCGTTTATTGTAAATAAGTAAGTCTACTATCTTTATTATGAACAATCGTATTTACTCTAGTTTTTTTTATCAAGTTAAATAGCAATATAAAGAAGAACAATTAAAATATAATTACAATGAATTTAACTAATGAATATTTCCTTCGATCTCTTTGATAATATATAGGATGGATATGAAATGATTTATTTTCAATATATGAAAGAAACTTCAAATATTCATTTAACTGATCTAATCAAACACTTTTCTGCTTCATGATGTAAAAATAAATACTATCGTTTGATTTAAAGAACAATTCGTGCATGTAAAAAGAAAATATATCTATACCTTCTTTAACCATACATCTAACCGTTGCTCCAAAACGTATATTTACATCTTGAAGAAACCAATGTAATTGTAATTCAGTATTATTATATATTAATGATAAACGTCGATTGCCTGTTTCGCCAGTACTACTTTCAAAATGAAATTGCTTACAAATCCATTCTAATAAATCTTTAACGGTTAATTTTTCCATTAAATTATCATTTTGATAAATCGCACGTTTATTTGTTGGTTCAAATAATACAAGAAAATACATTTAGATGAATATTGTTAAATTATAAAATAATATTCAATCTTTTTTTTATTATGATTCTTATTACCTTGACGAGCATATACGGATAAGAAGCAACAACAACAACATAAAACTCATTTGTTTCTCTCTCTCTATCAAATATAGAAGACGAAATACATTTCTTGAATTTTAATGAAGATCAAAACAAAAGAAAAAAGAACTATACACGCACATAATAAGACTTTATTTTATGATTTAAGTATTTCTTTTTATAGCTATAATAATTTATGTCAGATGAAGAATAAAGTTTAATGAGAAACAGAAAAGAGTGGAATATGATTAGTAAAAATTTTTGATGGTTACATTCTTATATGAATCTTATAGATATTGTGTAAAAAAAGAAATAAGACCAGTCATTTTATTTTTTGATTATGTTTTATATCATTTTATTGTTAATGTATAGATTGCATGTTAAAATTCTAATCTGATCCTTAAACGAGATTGCAAAAAACAAAAATGTTTTGTTGTATTAATTGACTCGATTAGTTGAACGTATTTTGGGAAAGAGAAGAAACAACATAAAATATTTCTTCTTCTTCTTCTTTTTCGGTACTCTTATGGTTATTATTATTTGTCTCTTTATTAAGCTAAATTCATTTTTCTATCGATTCTTTAGTTTATTGTCTGTTTATATAGATATAAGATCTTAATCATCATGAACATCATCTTTTTCTTTTTTCTATTATAAATATGACGACAAAAAAAAAGGATTTTTATTTAAGAGAAAAATGTCGTTCGCGCTCGAATATAGATTCTTTCTTTCTATATATGTCGTTTCTCTTGCGTCTACTACTTGATCGGAATACATACCATAAAAAAAACTGATGGTAAGAAACGAATAAAGTTGAGTTAGCCGATTAATGATAGAGACTGTGTTTGTGTCCTCGATATTAGAACAATTTTTCTTATTTATAGTTTATCTATTTCATATAAGCACATTGATGTGCGTAGTGATCTCACTTTACAGATGTACTCAGTTTACATATTGTCAATTGCATAATGCCATCGCATGTATTCCCAATGTTTGATATTTCTTATTATAATTATTATTTTGAATAATGGTAATCGAGCAGATAAACCAAGTGTATTACATATTGGTGCTTTGTTTGATTCTGAACATGCATCAATACACAATGGTCAACAAGAATTACAAGCAGCACAGATGGCTATTATTGATATAAATCGACAATATAAAGATTTATTCAAAGGACTTTATATACTTGAATTAATCGCAAATAATTCTCGGGTATCTAATGAAATAAATTTGTATATGTTAAACTTTTGATGTATTTAGTGTGATCCAATTTATGCTGTTGATGCTTTCTTTCATGCAATATTTCGTCGTCCACAATTACTTTTTCTTGTTGGAACATCATGTTCAAATGAAACGAAAGCTGTTATTCAAGTTGCTGATCATTATAATCTAATTTTAGTAAGTAAAATTGATTTTTTTTTTATTTATTCATTCTTTCTTTCGATCGGATAAATAATAAACATCCGTTTATATATAATTGCGGAAATGAATATTATAGTTTTCACATTCAACTTCATTTATATCTCAAGCCAATCAATCATATTCAACATTAGTACGATTGTCTGTCTCAGATGAGAATTATAATGATGCTCGTGTAGCGTTTATTGAATATAATCAATGGTCTCATGTAGCTATTATTCATCAAGATTCAATTGAACATTCACTTGTAAATTACACCTCTCTTTGTTAATCAGTTTTAATAGAAATTTTTTCTTTTTTCTGATTAAAGATGATGGCAAAATTAGCTAAACGATTAAATGAATCGAATGTTAATGTTGTACTTACACAAAGTGCATCATGGGTTAACCTTACATCCGCATTACAAACTCTTCGAGTATAGATTTTTTTGTTTAAATTTTTATCAAAAAAATTTGCTGTTTTTTTGTTTTAAGGAAAAAAAAGCTCGAATTGTTTTTGTTACTTTTGATACATCATTACGTTCAATATTTTTTTGTGAAGTCTATCGAACATTTAGTAAACAATTACGTGAACGTTATGTATGGATATTAACTGACAATGATTCTCATCTATGGAATTTATCAAATAATAATTGTACAAAAAAAGAAATATTTGATGCAGCACGCGGTCATATTATTATTGATAGTTCGTATGAAAGAAAACCAAATTTAATTAATCTAAATATAGTAAGTTTAATGATTAAAGGAAGAAGAAAAAATGTTTTAGAAATCTTATTTTTTCTAGACAGCACGTCGATTACAACAACAACTTGATCTACAAGATCATCTTGGTAGACAGACACTACATGCTTATGATGCTATTTGGGTCATTGCGTTATTAATTAATGCATCTATAGAAGAAAAGTAATTAATTTATGACTAGACATTATTCATTAGTTTATTTACTTTTTTTTTACTAATAGAATACCCGTTGATCGATTTACATATAGTAACTCAACGATGAGAGATCAGTGGTTAAATTTAACAGAACAAATTTATTTTCTTGGTGTATCTGTAAGTAAATACTAATGTTTATATATATATATGTAAATACTTCTATTTGTATATATAAGTGTATTATTTCATAGATAACAGTTTTTAATCTTTGTTTCATTAAGAAAACGATGTCCATATTTACAATAAAATGTTAGTTTTATTAGAAAAATAATCTAGCCTAGAAAAAAAAATCAAGGATTTGATTAAAACATCTATTTTACGGTTATATATGTGACACTAGAAAAAAATGAATATAACTATTGAAAGAAACAATATTGTCTTATCCTTCCGTCATTAATGGTACTTTTTGTTGTTTCCGAATAAATTCAATAAAAAAAAATTTTTAATTATAGATTCTATCAATAAGATTTTTGTTTTTCAGTTAAATTTTTACTGCGTAATTGTATATAATAATGAAATAAACTTTAAAACATACGAATAAAAATTGAATTATCATACATAAAAGTATATATATGAAAAAAGAATGTCTTATTCTTTAGGGACCTGTTTCTTTCCGAAATCGTCAACGTCGTGCAGAAACTATTATACGACAATTTCAAATTGATGGCAATCAACATATACTTCGAACTATTGCGGAATATTCACATCTATCAGGATTTAATGTAAATTGTTCAAATTGTCAATTATTGATTTGGCCAGGTAATAGGAATACAGATTATCATTGAAGAAATTACTTATTTATTTATTTAGGTACAATCCCAGTTGATACTGAACGAAGTGAAATTCAACGAGTTGTTTTAACTGTTTCGGAAATTATTTCAATAACTATTGCTTGTATTTTAAGTCTTGTACTTGCCATTTTCTTTTTAACATTCAACATTATTTATCGACATGAACGGTAAGTTCAAAACATAGAACATTCATAGACAAAATAAAACAACAGGATGTAAAAGAAAATCCTTTCCTTCTAATACTACACTTTAAATAGAAATAAACAGCATGCTATCTGTAATAATGAAGGATTTATTTTTCATTTCTGACACAATCGATAGTATATACTCATAACTAGAGAAAAAAAGAAGGAATATTTCGTACATGTTTAATTAGATATAATAAAAATGGATTTTGTAAACATTATTGAAAAGAAACCGATTATATTTTTAGTTATATTAAATTATCAAGTCCTAAATTAAACAATGTAATCGTTATTGGTGCAATACATATTCAAATAGCGATATTCCTTTTTACTCTTGATAAATGGTTTATTGAACATCGTATTCTTGGACATATATGCATGGTAAAATTTTTTGTATTATTTACTTTAATTTTGTTTATTTTGAATTAATTAGTTACGAATTTTACTTTTTTCTGGTGGATTTTCATTAACATTTGGTTCAATGTTTTTAAAAACTCTACGAGTATATCGTATTTTTACATCTAATGATCGTCCATTACTTCATTCAAAAGTTAGTTTGTTTTTTATTCAAAGACAATAAAATCTAACTTTTATTTTTTCTCTCTATAGCTTTTACAAGATCATCATCTCTTACTTATATGTTTATATATTTACAGTATTGATGTTATTATTATTTTTGCATGGCAATTTCTTGATCCACATGAAATAATATATACTGATGGACAGGTAGAATCTGTTTTATTTTAAATAAAGAAATCTACTTCTAAAAGCAGTTTTATAGATCAGACGCCTTGATATGGATACAATTGTTACAGATAGAATCTATCATTGTAATTCACAATATCGACAAAAAATTTTACCATTAATTTATCTTTATAAATCATTATTTCTTATTGTGGGTGGTTATTTAGCTGCTAAAACTCGTCATGTACATATATCAGCATTAAATGATTCAAAATTTATTGTTTGGAGTATATATACTGTTGTACTAACAAGTGTATTTACTGTTACTATTATGATATCAATACAAAATTTACGTACATATGTTGTTTTATGTTTTGTTGTTATTATCATGAAAAGTTTTATTATATGTCTTGTCTTTGTACCTAAAGTAAAGACAAATATTGTATATTATCCTTTCTTCTAAATTCCATATTTTAGGTTCTGACATTAAAAACTCGACATCGAGAAGAAGTTGTTTCAAAAGATTTATGTATGGGTAATTCACGTACACGACGTTTAGCTGTTGAAATAAGTTGTTTTGAAGCATATCGTTATGCACAATTACAAAATCGAGAACTTAAAACAGAAGTTGTTCGAGTAAAATTTCCTTATACATATTTTTTTTTTAATATTATTCTATAAAAATTCTTTCTTCTAGTTGAATCATGCTATAAATACTTTGCAGCAAAATCTTGATTCTGCACATTCAAATGTGGCTATGGCACTACTTCCATTTGCAGTTCGTTTAGCATCAACATTTTTGCAGAAACCTGATATTCAGTACGTAAATAATTATACTAGAATAGAGAAAAAGAACATTTGTTTTTCCTTTAGTACATCTCATTCTCCTGTGAATAGCAAAGCTAGTGTAGAAACAGTTACACCAACGAAGGAGCAATCTCCTATTGTTATTAGTATTGATCAAAAAAATGAAGATGATGCAAATAGCATTACTGATACAAGTACTTCAAACAATTTTCTAGATGAAATTGAACAAGCACTATCATCAACTGATTCTGAACTTGATCTTTCTACAGCTTTATTATCAACAAAGGATATAAGTTCATTATCACTGACTGTTCTCGATAATCAATATGAATCAGTCACAACAGATGATGATAATGAAAATGAAAATGAAAGTATTTCATTGACACCAGCATGTACAACAAGTGATAATGAATCGGTGCTGTATTTACGTTTATCTAATGAATTGAATATGAATGAAGCAACACTTGATAGTGATTTAGATAGAATTGGTCGATGATGTTTTTTGTTCTTTTCTTTTTGTTTCATTCTAATTTACAAATAAATAAAAAATGTGTTTTTTTTTATACAAAATAATTTATTTGCTCAGGCAGACAATGACCTTCTGCTATCGAAACTTTATTTTGATATTCTGCAACATCATGACTAAGAACATCTTTCTTCATTAAATCAAAAATTAGCCAAATGAACTATATGAACAGAAATGGGTTCGAGAAATATTTAAAAATATCGTATAAATCTCATTAAATCGTTAACAGTATATACGTACACTCATTTCCGCCTTGTTATCTTCTAATTCTAAAAGTCTTGTGTCTAGTCATGCTTTCAACTATAGATCACATCTTATTACGTCTAACCACTAATGTAAATGTCATTCGATGAATATCCGCTCGCAGCGCTAGTCTAAATGAATAACAACAAAAAATGTTCAATGTCAGCTGTCTATTCTTAATGTAAAATCTTGTCATTTTATATTAAATTACGTAATTTACTTATCTTTTATGAACACTATCACACATTAGGAATTAATTATTTTATAAATTTTTGACATAGAAATGTTACTTCAGTTAAATTTGTTTTATGTCTAGAATATTACTGAAAGTTAAAAGCTTTCGCTTGTATTTTCATCAGTCAAACTAAAATCTATTATCAATATATTATTTATCATAAAAAACCATAATATGTTCATTGGTTGATGTTGTTGATGATCTTAAAAATAGATCATCATTTTCGTTCGAAGATAATTCTTGTGTTTTGTTTATATGTTGATTAAAATTATGTGTTAATCGTATTCGAACATAAAAATTATCTAATTCAACATCTTGAATTCGATTTAATTCAATATCATCTGATTGTGAATTATTTCGAAATAATTCAATTTGTTTAATATGATCTTCAAGTAAAATATATCGTCCAAGAAATAATTTTGAATTTTTTCGAAAAACAGATACACTTCCTTTTTTGGTTATTTCATCAATATTTCTTTTTGTCCATTTTATATTTGGATCTAAGAAATGAACAATATCGTCAAATTGTCTATACATAGCAAATTGTATAGGTGTTTGAGATAAATAACTATCTTGTAAATTAATATCAGCATTATATTCTAATAATAATTTAACGATATTTAAATGTCCGTTATTACAAGCATAATGTAATGGTGTCCATTTCTCAATATCTACATCATTGATAAGGGTTGAATCTTGTTCTAATAAATATTTTACAACATTCAAATGACCAGATCGACAAGCATAATGAATTGCTGAACCATCAACATTAAAAGCTCGATTTAATGGATCTTTATGTCGACATGTATGTAGGATTGATTTGTCTTTAGAAATTAAATCTTTAACTACAGTTAAACGACCATAATCAGCTGCATGTAATACATCCATCGTAAAAGGTATTTTTCGAAAAAGAATTCGATCCGTTTATTTGTCATATTATTATATAGTCATAAATAAAGAAGAAAAACTGGATGGCTTGTTGATATTTATTTTCTACCTCTATGTATGAATCATACAAAAGAGGAAGTCTACATTCATGGGAAAAAAAGTAAATCATCGACAAACTATTGAAGTAAAGATCTAATGTGTGATGTAGAATAAATTGAGCTGTTTAAATTTCAAATAAGTTCTTGGCATTGTTCATTTTAACAGAACGTATATCTTTACATAGAAAGATGGCGCTTGAAATCTCTTACAAGATTAAATAAGATAGGTAAAAATTAAATTTATAGAAATACCAAAGTGTTTGAACTGACAGTGTTGATGTTTTTGGAAGATATATGAATGAAGTTCTTTCAAGTACTTTAACATCGAATAATAGATTTTTATGAAACAACTGGACAGATAACAATCGGATGTTGAGAGAAAAAATTGACAAAATAAAGAATTCTAAATTTTGGCGTGTCATTTTATTATACGATTATAGTTTTGTAAGTGTTATCTTTTGGTAAAAAGAAAAGATGGCTTTCAATCAAATGAATAATAACAAAGAAAAATAGAAATAGAAACAATCTAATCTATTCTGCATTTTCTATTAGTATATTCATTTCCTTATAGAGGTGTCACTGAAATTAATAAAAGTAAAAGCGAAGAAAGAAGGTACAAGGCCATTAGAAGTAGAACCCTGAATGGTTCAAAGAATTTTTTCTTCGATATTTTCTATGTCCAGGTGATGCTGAATTTAATGACTATTCATATACAGATATTGATAGATAAGAAATACACTGTAGGTGTTATTCAGTTGTACAAAATATCAAATATCAAAATAGAAGTATTACAACAGTCGTAAGTCATTCAAGAAAAATGAATGAAAGATACATATAGGTATGTATAAATCAATTGTATGTCGTATATTCCTTAGTAATTAATTTTGAGTTTTCCACAAAAGACAAATAACTAAAATTCACTTGCAATATAATTATCATATATATACATTTTAATTACAGATGAATAGAAGAATACATTTGAAAGATATATGATTTTTTTTGTTCAACTTATAATAAAAGACAATCTGATCACATTGTAAAAGAGCGACATCGTGCGACAAGAGCATAGTAATTCCGTCGTTATTGAGTCACACCTTCTATCACATGGCCAATCTGTCTCTATTTTTTTCATCATTCATATAAATTCATAACTATCGATATATACAAATAATAATATGTTAATATCTAAGCAGAATCTAATAAGAACAACATCTACAGTTAAATTTTCTTTAATCTATTGTTATCAAAGTACAAATTCATCGCTTGCATCAATATTATATCCCGAACCAAAACCAATCGATAAAAATGACGTTTCATTACCACCGCCGCCACCACCACCAAAACCAACAACAAAACAACAAGCTCAAACTGTTGTTAGTTCAGCAGCTGATGTTGCCGTTAATGCTCTTGGTGTTGGTTGGAGTGCATTGAGTGCTGTTAGTAATCGAATAACTGGTTTAACTAGTTCACAAACTAAAGTTTCAACTACAAGTCAACAATTAAATTCAATTGTACGTATGGTGACACCTGAATCTCTTGAACAACGAACAAAAACTTTAATACGTTCGATTAAAACAGCATCATCAACATTATCTCAAGCAATTCGAATCGAAGAACTTTCAAATCATCTTCTTCAACATCCTGATGCTAATTATTTTACAAAAAAAGTTGTTTTTAAACTAATTTTCAAATGATAAATTCTATATAGATCTTTTTTTTAGGAACGACTTGTACCTTATTTACTATTTTTACGTCAACATGAACGTCATAAACCTGTTATTGATAAAAAATTCATTAACATGATTAATGAATGTCTTACTTTATCAAATTATGTTCAAAAACCTAGAGGAAAAGGTATTCGATTATTATGTATTGACGGCGGTGGAATGAGGTGCGAAGTGAGTTAAATATATATGTTATGGTCAAAAATGAAATTTATATAAATTTTTTTTCAAAGTTTCATTTTGTCCATAACATATATCTTCTAATATTTATATTATTCTTTTTACCTAGAGGTCTTGTTTCACTTAATGCACTTCGTCGAATTGAAGACCTTGTAGGAGAACCAGTACATACAATGTTTGATTATATGTGTGGAGTATCAACCGGTGCTGTTATAGCAGCAATGCTTGGTAATTTACAATTGATTGAAATTATCCATCATTTTCTTGTATATTTTTATAATTTAGGTGCATTTAAAGTCGATCTGAATCAATGTGAAGAATTATATAAACATTTTAGTACAACAGTTTTTCATCGAAATAAAGCATTAGGTATTAGTTCATTAATAACTAGTCAATCGTATTATGATACAAAAAGTTTTGAAACTTATTTAAGGTAATGAAAAAAAGAAACCAACGTTTCAAATTATTATATAATTTATATTTTAGATCACGAATGGGTGAACGATTAATGATAAAAACCTCACAAGATCTTGATTCACCAAAAGTAAATATTTTATTTTATTATTTTTACAAATTGTTTTTTCATAAACAATTTTTTTAGTTCAGTTTAATATCGGCATTAACACTTCCAAATGGTTATAAATTATATTTATTTCGAAATTATTCGATATTGTCATCACCTCATACACATTATGATGGAACAGCAAAATATAAAGTATGGGAAGCTGTACGTGCATCAACTAGTGCTCCAGGATATTTTGAAGAATATTTACTTGATGGAAATGTATTTCAAGTAAATAGAAAATTTTATTTATTTAAATAAAACAAAAAGAAACTATTTTATTTTGTATAGGATGGTGGATTAATAGCGAATAATCCAACGAGTATTGCATTACATGAATGTAAATTATTATGGCCTGATGAAGATATTCAATGTGTAGTATCATTAGGAAATGGTAGACCAGCTCCTGATGTCGCACTTCAATCGAAATCAATGAGCTGTAAATAAATATTTGATTTATTCTAATAATACATGTATATATTTTTAGTAAAACAAAAATTATCATCACTAGTTGATAGTGTTACCAATACGGAAACAATTCATGTATGTTTACATGATCTTTTACCGCAAAATATATATTTTCGAGTAAATCCATTTATGAGCGCGGATTTTGTTTTGGATGAACATCGACCAGAACGTATTGAACAAATGTTACGTGATACGCAAACATATATACGTCAGAATGAATATAAATTTGTAAAACTTGCACAACGATTAACAAGACTTCGATCATTATATCAACGTTTTTTGGATCGTATAAAAAAATATCTACAAATATATACATAGACTCTATTTTTCCTTATTTCTAATGTATAAAAATCTGTATAATCAATAAAATACAGCTGAGAACAATGAATGACTAAAAAAAAAAGCAATTTTTTTTTATTTTCTGTTTTTTTTTGTAGATGTTTGTATCTTAGGGAAATTTAAATAGAAAATGTTTCTATTAATACTTGGTGTATGTATATGTACAATTATTATAATCGGCTGGAAAATAATTCTATCATCACCAAAAAACGATCAACAACAAGTAATTTAAAATTTCTTATTACAAGAATTAAATAGATTTTTTTATCTAGGAAATATCTTACAACGTTGAACAGTCAGAAAATTTATTAATACCAATTGACGATGAATTACAATCAGTAATTTATTTTTTTTTTTTCTTTTGAAAATATTCATTTTATTTTAATAGTCATTAACAAATATAAACTGTGATACGAACGATAGTAATACTGTTCGAAGTACATTAGAATTTTTACCAGATGAAATTCTACTTGATGTTATTGGCTATTTAAAACCATACGATATTTATTATACTTTACACAAGTAAGTTTTATTACATATTTATAGATTTCAAATCAATAGCCAATCTATTTTTCTGCTTGCTACTAGTAGAAAATATTTAGATTAATGTAATGCGTATTTATTGATAGAAATAGCTGTTGATATTAGTGTGAAAAACATTAAAACCTAATAATTTCGACGAGCTAGGCTTGATATTCACGGATGTCTAATTCTACTTATATATATATATGTTTTAATAAACCTATATTTCTAGTCTCAATAATCGTTTCAATTCAATAATCAATGATTTTCAACTTAATTTTCATTTAAATATATCACATATATCAAAATCTGAATATGATTATTGTCTTTCATCGATTTTACCATTACCATCTGTTTTATTACGTCTTCATTCATTACATATATCAAATGATGAAACATACGGTGCAATAGCACTTTTTATTCGTCAATATCCAACTTTGACAATTCCATCACTTCGTTCACTTACACTTATTGATGCTACAACATCTCAGATAAAATTTTTTCTTGTCAGATTATCTCAGCAACTTGAAAATCTTTCAATAGTAACAAATCGAACAATTGATATGAATGATAAACGATTTATATGTCAATATATCTTAAAACATAAATATCTTCGTTCATGTCGTTTATCATTATGTGATGGTGTTGATTGTGATGAAACAATATTAAGTAATTCAATAAATAATCAATTAGAAAATATAATTATTGATTTATCATATTTTCAAAATATTCTTACACTCTTATCTTATATATCTAATGTAAAACGTTTAACAATAAATCTTAATCAACAAAAATATTATAATCAAGATTATGATGCAGCTGCATTTGATATTGTTCGTTTATGTATACCAACACAATTAAGTTATTTTAATTTAAATTTACGTTTTTCAAATGTGGAATTTGAACATATTGAACAATTATTAAATTGTTTAGTTAATTTAAAACATCTTTGCTGTTCATCATTTCGTGCTGAACTTGTATAAATTTTTATTACGAAAAATAAATATCATATTTTTAAAAATTATTTTGTTTAGGTTGATGGTTATCGATGGGAACGCGTACTTGAACGTCTTCCATTATTACGTCGTTTTCAATGTGTTATGACAACATATATATATCATTCACTTGATTTAAATTTAATTTCTCAATCATTTCAAACATCATTTTGGAAAGATAAAAATTGGACAGTAATTTGTGATTATTTTCAATGTCTTTCTCGATTAACTATTTATACAATACCATTTTATAAAAATTTGTTTATTTCAACATTAAATGGATCACAATCATTGGATGATAAAAATATTTTATTAGACAATGCTTTTAATAAAGTTACTCATCTTAAAGTGTCAGTTCAAGGTATGTATTATAAACATTTGTAAACAAACTAATTTCTATCGAACTTCATTGGAAAGAAATAGAGCATAACTATTGAATTTACTTGCATAGAAACTGCAACATAAAGATAAAACTAGTTTGAATATCCAAAGGGTCTAATAGTCTTAAATCGAAAAGGTTACTTCTAAACAAAAGAAGAATTCATATGCATATATATATATCCGAACGCTTTTTCGAAGAAATTCTTCTAAAACTTTAAAGGATGAGGTTTATAGAATTTACAGATAACTTTCCATAAAAACTTAAGAAAAGTTGTATCGTACCATTCATAGTCAATGCGTATTCAGAGAAATGATGTTCAAAGTTGATTACATATACGATGAAAATCCTGACAATCTTTTTATATCACACTATCGTAGAATATGCTATGGACTTCATCCTTTTTTGTTAGCAAGACAACCGTATTTCACATAGAAAAATTTAATTGGGAATATTTTTATTACTCACGATCGATGTTTTCATGTACTGTATGTACATCATTATAATATTTATATTTGTTCATTTAGGATTATATTCAGATAACACACCAGTTCGTAAATTTGGTTTTGTTACATCATTATCATTATGCGATGGTGAATCTTATAGTGATCATTCTAATAGTTCACTTGTTTCTTATTTAACATCAACTATTGATTTAACAAAAATTCGTCATTTAAAACTTTATTCTTTATTATCTGGTCATACATTGTTTTCACTTTTATGTAAAGCACCAAATATAAATTGTTTAAGTTCATCATATCATAATCTTTTACAAATGATTAATGATTTTGGTGATGTTTGGTTATGTTGGTTATTAAATATGATGATTAAAAAGTTAACATTATCATATGGTCGTTTAACATTATCAATTGTTGATCAATTTATTGAACTTTTTTCAAATATTGAACATTTATCATTATGTATGAATATGGATGATGTGGATTTTCAAGAGATTCTTTTAAAACTTATACAAAATTTTAAACATCTCTCATCAATACGTATTAGATTAGCTGGAAAATTAACAGATCAATTTCAGATTCAAACACTTACATGGCTTTCAAATAATCAGCAATTACATTCAGAATTTAATGATAATTTTCTGGATATATGGATTACATAAAAAAAAATCGCTCAAATAGATTATCTATTGTATACTTGTTTAGTTATGAATTCTTTTCTTTTCGTTTTTTTTATTATTATTATTATTATTCTGTTACCTTTTTTTTGCCAGTTTTTCTTTTTAATATTTATTTCAGTACATATCTGAATGCCATTTTTTGACATAGATAAGAAATAAAGATAACGTTTTTAGTATGCACATCGTGAAGTTTTAGCTTTCGATGAATATTCATCTGCGGAATCGATTGAATAAGTAAGATCTTCAAAAAAAATGAAAAGCATTTAACTTTATGTAATAGAAGTAATAAGAAAATAATATTATTATTATTAATAGAATCAAACTATTGTGAAATGCTTTTAAATATATCTAAACATTGATTTTTCACTAGTTAGTTCATTTTTGTTGATGTTTAGATGTTATCATCTCATGCTGTTTGTATATGGTATGTACGAATACATATAGAAGTAAAATATATGTTTCAAAGAAAAAAGAATACAGAAATGTTGATTGCATGTAACAATCTGTCATTGCTACGATCATATTTGAAATACATATTGAATATCATACAAATAAAAATATCTCATTAAAAACGAATCGATTGATTTCTTTTAGTTTGCAAATATAATATTTGTGCAGATCTAAATCTTATAGAAAATCTCTTTAGTCATAGTAAACAATTCTAAGTAAACAAAAGAGTGTAATAAATTAAGCTTTAAAATGTTTTTATAAAAATACACTGTAAAAAAAGTCAGTTACAAACTACAGAAAGAATATTAGAAGAACTATTCAAAAAAAATTATATAGTTACAAAAAAAGTAAAGAAATAAATGAAAAATGTCATATTAGCAAGTTTTCATAAGAATATCAATATTACCATATCCATCATTAGTAGCAATAATATCAGTTAAATTATTATTGTCTATATCACCAACAGCAAGTGCAAATGGATGTGAATTAAAACCACTAGAGAATATTTGTTGATTCATAAAACTTCCATTACCATAACCAAAATACACACCGATATGACTAGTCCCATAACTAGCAACAGCAATATCTAATTGAGTATCATTATTCAAATCAAGAATAACAACTGAAGATGGTTGAGAACGAACACCAGTAGAATAAGTGATTTGATTTGAAAATGTACCAGTACCATTGCTAAGAAAAATACTAATGGTATGAGTACCAGCATTTGCAACGACAAAATCTAATCGGTTGTCATTATTTAAATCAGCAACACAAACTGAACATGGTTGAGAACTATTGCCAGTTGAATATGTTATATCATAGAGAAAAGTACCATAGCCTGATCCAAATATAACTTTGACATTGTTTGTAGCATTATTGGTGATGACAACATCTAATCGAGTGTCATTGTTAAAATCTCCAGCAGCTATGGAAGTCACTTGAGAAGACGATCCAGTCAAATAAGCTGGTGCATATAGAAAACCTTCGTTAACATATCCAAAAAACATACCTATATTATCGGTACCAGAATTAGCGACGACAATATCGAGACGTTTGTCCTTGTTAAAATCGCCAACAGCGAGATTCCATGGCTGAGAATTATTACCAGTTGAATAAGTCAATGGATCAAAAAAAGTACCATTAATACATTCAAGAAGAACACCTAAAGAATTGGTACCAAAATTGACAAAGGCGATATCCAATTGATTGTCATAATTAAAATCCTCAACGACTAATGCATGCGGAGCAGAGCCAATACCAGTTGAAAAAGTGATTTGATCATGAAAACTGTGATTGATATTTCCAAAAAACACACCAATATTGTCAGCACCGAAATTGGCAACTGCAATATCTAATATACCATCGCTATTCAAATCACTAACGACGACGCATGTTGGTTTTGAACCACTGCCAGTTGTATAAATAGTCAGATTGGAAAAAGCACCACCACCATTCCCATAAAAAATACTAATACTGTTAAGACCATAATTGGACACGACGATATCCAATCGATTGTCGTTGTTAAAGTCACTAGTAGCGACTGATACTGGTTCAGCATTACTGTCAATAACGTAGGTGACTATAGGAGAAAAGGTACCATTCCCGTGTCCTAATAAAATACCAATTCCACCAAATTGAAGAGCGACGGCAATATCTAATCGACTATCCTTGTTGAAATCTGCAACAATGACTTGACTTGGGTAAGAATTATTGCCAGTATAAAAAGTCGTTTGGTTTGGGAATGTACCATTGCCATATCCCAGAAAAATACATACATTGCTAGTATAGAAACTGGTGGCAATTATATCCAAATAGCTGTCATTGTTCAAGTCAACAATAGTAACTGCACTTGTCAACGACCCGATCCCAGTCGAATATGTCGTTTGGTTGGAAAAGATACCATTGCCCAGTCCTAGAAAAACACCCACATTGTCTGAATTGCCCGCCACGAAATCTAACCAGCCATCATTGTTTAAATCAGCAACAGCTACTACGTACGGATTAGAATCCGTACCTGTGGAGAATTTTATTTGCTTTCGAAAACTTCCAGTATCATATCTAATAAGTGTTACTACCCTATTAGTAGCAGAATCAATAACAGCAATATCAAGTTTCTTATCATTGTTGAAATCACCAGTAGTTACTGCTTGTGGAATTGAACCAACTCCAGTTGAATACATATTTAAATTTGTGAAACTACCATTTCCATATCCATAAAGAATGCCGACGTTTTCAGTTGCAGAATTAGCCACAATAATATCTAGTTCATTATCATTATTTAGATCATCAACAGCAACTGAAGTTGGAAAAGATAAGTCACCAGTGGAAAATACTGTTTGTAATGGAAATGTTCCATTTGTATGTCCTAAAAGTACTCCTACATTACTTAAATCATAATTTGCTATGGCGATATCTAATTGACCATCATGGTTGAAATCACCAAGAGCTAAACCATGTGGATGTGGAGAAGATCCAGTTGAATATGTATGTTCAAGTATACCATTCATGTAAGAAGATCCGAGAAAAACACCTATCATATTCGTGCGATAATCAGCAACGACAATATCGGGAATGTTATCATTGTTGATGTCACTAAGAACGACTGAAACTGGACTAGAATGGTCACCAGTTGAATAAGTTCTTTGAGCAGGAAACGTGCCATTACCGTCTCCAATAAATACAACGATATTGTTAGCGCCATCATTAGCTACAACTATGTCTAGTTGGCTGTCGTTGTTTACGTCACCAACAGCAACTGAGTATGGTTTAGAACCACTACCAGTAGAATAAGTATTACCTTTGACAAATGTTCCATTACCGTATCCAAAGAAAATAAGAATAGTATTACTGTTACCGACAGTAATGATTATATCTTGATGATCATCATTATTCACATCACCAATAGCAATATCATTTGGACAGAAACCAACTGAAACTAAATACGAGACTTGGTCTGCAAAAGTACCATTGCCATATCCAAGAAATACACCCATATTGAAACCAAAATAATTAACGACAGCTATATCTAATCGGCTGTCATTGTTAAAATCGCCTATGGCAATAGATTGGGGGTTAGATAGGTCTCCAGTTGGATAGGTCTGTTGACTGGAAAAATTTCCATTACCATATCCCAGAAATATACCTATATTGAAACCCCAGTAGTTAGCAACAGCAATGTCCAGGTGCCCATCATTATTAAAATCACCAGCAGCAACATCATATGGTGTAGAACCGTCCCCAGTCGAATAGGTAGTTTGGCTTGAGAAAGTACCATTACTATAATTAAGAAATATACCAATATTATTTGTTCCAGAATTGGCGACAACAATATCTAGTTGTTTATCATTATTAAAATCACCAATAATAACTGAAATCGGTTGAGAATTGTCTCCGGTTGAATAAGTTACTTGACTTGGGAAAGTACCCATACCATAACCAAGAAATATACCAATATTATTTGTTCCATAATTGGCAACGACAATATCTAGTTGCTTATCATTATTAAAGTCAGCAACAGCAACCGAAACTGGACCACTTCGAATGCCTGTTGAATAGGTATTTTGTTTTAAGAAAGTATAATTTCGATATGTCAGCACAATATCAACATAGTTGTAATCGTAATTGACCACAGCAATATCTAATCGATTGTCACCATTGAAATCACCACCAGCAATAGAATATGGATTAAAATTGTAACTAACACTGAAGAATATCATTTGATCTCTAAAAAATCCATTTCCATATCCAAAAAATATACCTACACTTTCATTCTGATAGTTTGCTACAGCAATATCAAGATGATTATCATTATCAAAGTCACCAATTACTAGTGATAATGGAAATGAATTATTATTAGTTGAGTATTTGTATGGTATTGTGAAACTTCCATTTCCAAAGCCTAAGATGACATCAATTGTATTTAAACCAGAACAAGCAACTACAATATCCATAAAAGTATCATTATTTAAATCATGAACAGCAACTGAATAGGGTTGAGATTCATATCCAGTACTAATTATGAACTGGCTATCAAATATACCATTCCCATGTCCTAAAAATAAACCTATGTTGTCAGTACCATGATTTGCAACAATAATATCAAGTTTATCATCATTGTTAAGATCAGAAACAACAAGTGAATATGGAACAGAATCATAGCCAGTTGAAAATGTTTTTGGTGTTGCAAAATTTCCACGACCATCTCCAAAAAGAATGCCTATATCATTAGTACCATAATTTGCAACGACTATATCGAATTGTTTATCATTGTTCATATCACCAACAGCAATCCATAGTGGACGAGATGAGCCAGTAGAAAAAGTGATTTGTGACATGAAAGTACCATTACCAGTTCCAAGAAATATACCAATATTATTGGCACCATAGTTAGCTACAGCTATATCTATTTGTTGATCATGATTGAAATCACCAACACAAACAGCATATGGAAGTGAATTAGAACCAGTTGAATATTTGATTTGATCTCTAAATGTAGTATTATCCTGTCGAAGAAATATTCCTAAACTACTTGT